CTTTATCGAAAGAACAGATAAGTTATAAATATAATGAGGTCAATGTATTTCGTTTATGATGGTCGTCATCATCGAATAACCGGAACGATATGATTGAAAAGGGAAAATTTTTGTATAAATTTATGTTAACATTGAACAGCTTTGTATTCATTATCCTCTTAAGAAATATGATCGAGAATTTTCAAGGAGAAGTGACAGAAAATTTATTATGGCTTACATAAAAACTCTTTGTAATTATTGTTTATTACAGTTTCAAATTATGAATTAATTACTTTACTTCCTTATACATATTATCCACTTCTGATTGAATAAAAATAGAATTCTTACAATTAAAATTTAATACATTAAATGCTTTAAGAGATTGAAACTTTTATAAAGCTGGAGTTAAAATTTATATATGAAAATTTTCTAATATTCAAAAATTAAAGTGTTTAATATGTGAAGATGATAACATTTATGGATCGGATGATGAATGATTGAATTTTTAAGTAGAAGACGATGATCGGTTCGTGCAAATTGTGAGGAGTCAGCAGAGTCGTTATAAGATTTGAATTTTTATCTAAGTAAGCGATGTTTGAATGGAAATTGTGTATTGAAGCGTGCTTAAACCTGCTAGAATATTTAAATATTTGACAAGAATTTCTTCAAAAGTAGCCATAAATACAAACAAAGGAAAGATTTGGAATGTTTTATAGAGATAATTAAAGTAGACGAAGCGCAATAAAATCAAGTCAAAACTAGCGCAATGTTATAAATTTTGGGATTTTTATTTATACAGAATTTTGAACGATAAAAGGAATAGTCTCTATATTGGTTTTAGAAGTTATCTTTGAAAAAATTAGATTAACAATGAAACTACATAGATATAATAATTCAAAATGTAGTTATTTCGCAGCCTATTCAGACATAATTTATACAAAACTTAGTTCCAACACGCTCAACAATCTATTTCTTCTAAGAAAAACATAGACACAGATTCATAAATTTGAATTATATGCTACATAAAAGCAATTAACTGTTCGATATTATTGTAACTAATAAAAATTTCTTCGAATTTAGCAATAAATCAAATTAAATCTATGAAAATGGTTACAGATTTCTTTGCGAGAAAGGAAGTATATAACAATCTGTATCGATTTGTATGTGAAAATATGTTGGCTTTGTGTTATTTCACTACTTCCGAATGAGAATGAAAAATGTTTTTTATCGAATAATAGAAAAAAGGAAGTTGGAGTTTTGCAACAACCCATCGTAAATTTTCCAGTTTTGACTCGACAGAAGTAATATCTTATCTTGACATTGTCGATAATATTGGTCCTAACAGGCAAAGAGATTTGTCTTTGACGGACAATAGCAAAGAGTTGAAGATTATCAATCCTTCTATTTTCTTTTTCCTCTTTTTTTCAATTCTTATAATTTAATGCAATTGAGACTTTTGGAGAAATTTGCGAATTCCTAAAGAAGAATGGATTTGAAAACATCGATTTTTGGTTGCAATAATACATTTATCTTAAACTCGAAAGCGTCGTTTTTCTAAAAAAAAAAAACACAGAAACTTTATTCTGACGTAATGATTATCTTATCATTGTCATTTTTACTTTCACGTCTCTATTATATATAGGGTAAAACCGGATGAGATGCCTACAGGTTGTTTATTTGAATAAGACTCAATAAAACAAGTCACTAATCACTTTAATGGTGACTATGCTTAGCGTTCTTACGTTTCGATATTTTTCTGATTTCTTCGTTAAAAATAAGTTTCCGTTTATCATCGCTCTATAAATTTTTTTGTGACATTCACATTTACATGAAAGGATCCGAAATTCGAATACGCTTATGTGATATTTCCGTTTCATGTGAAAGTAGGATTAGTTGGTCGTATTGTAATCAAAGCCAGAGGTCCTCCTAATAATTTTAGTCTAAAATATAGAAATAGGCATCTCTCCGATATTGTTTGGGTGAGATTCCTAGTGGATTTAAGGGAAAGATGCGTACTTTTACTGATATATTTTATTATGTACTTAAATACATTTATTAACTTTAGATGTCTACTGAATACAAAGGAAGGGTAACTGATGCTAACAGGAAAATGGGCTGAACAGGACTTAGTCCTTCCAGCTAAAACAGTAGATATTAATCCTCTAAATTACTATCAAGCAAGCAAAGAATTTAACATTTCATACCCTACTCTTTGTAGAAAACTTAAAGATAGTACTTTAGCAATCAAATAAAATTCAATGTTAGATATCCCCCCAAAAAACACTTGTTTATCGTAAAATTAAGTTACAAAATCGAGACAAGTAAAGCAGATTGCATTCGATGCGCGATGTACAAAAAAATGGATGTACGAATCACTTTTATTAAAAGATTACTCTTGTCTGTATATGCGTTATATATTTATTTCTTCTGAAACCCACAGTTAAGCGAATTATCTGCGTTGAAAAAACTATCCGCTTTTACCCTGATAGAGAAAAGGCACGGTAATCGGTCAAAAAATTACCCTCCACTCAAGATTTGGACTCAGGACACCTAGAAACGTCGAGAAATGCAAAAATGTTTTTTTTTTTTTTGTATCTTAGCGTATGCGGGGGCACAGTTTTGTTCACCCTGTTTGAAGCTAAATAAATTCTGTGCTTTTCGTCGAAAATTTTGCAAATTATGCAGGGAGTTTTGTGAATTAGGATGATTGACACTATTAAATCTTGATGGTTAAAAGTTGAGGGGGTGGGGAGATAAATGAGTAATAAACTTATACGATACTATTTATAATTTTTTATAATAAAATATATAAACACAAAATAAAAAATAATTTAACAGTTTTTAATCAAACCATATCTTCTAGCAGTTGTGAGTTTTTAAGTTTGAAACATTTCCTAACTTGCAATCTGGTTAATGTCCTAAACTCCCAGTATGCTAAAAGGGGTTGTCAATTAAGAACTGGGTAAAACAATTGAGAAATAAAGATAAATTCTTCTTGTAGTCGGCTTCCAGATAAGTCGAATAAGTTTTGTATAAGATTTTTTCGGGTACAATTTGCTTCAGTTTACGATAACTACATTTTATGTTTTGCAATCAAGAAAGAACTGGTTGGATTTTTGAGACAAAATACTCTGTTGCATTCAAACTTTTGGATATTATTGGACGATGCAACCAGCTTAGTCTCATCTATTAACAGATAGAAATGAGAGCGCGATTCAAATCGCCCATGAAAGCTCGTGAAATCCGTTCTGTATTCGAATTTGGATCCTTTATGGTAACAAGAAAATCTTGCCATTCTTTCATTTGCAAATCGCAATTGATTAGAGTGTTTCCTCTGTCTTATTATATTGTATATGTATTTATTAATGGAGAAAATGGTTTATAGGGAAATAACTCCTAGAAAAATTAGCAAAAATGAGCTTTCTTATCGAATAATGTCAGTGTTTGTTAAATAAATGTTTCGAAATTTCTCTTATAATTTATTGTTTCCTTAACACAACACTTTAATTTTTACTTAATTAAATATTTTAATATTTTAGATTACTTGTTCTGAATTTAATATAGGAATAATTTTATTACGAGATTCTCATTCTTATTTAAAATAATTTGCTATATTAATCTTTAAATCGCATCTAACGTTATCATTTTCCTTAAAATATGGCTCGTAAATTAAAATATTTAAATGATATAAAACAAAGATAAAAGCAAATAATTTATGAATCTAAATTTTAAAAAATATTATTCGAGGTAATGATGCATTTTAATAGGCCTTAACGTCCGAATAGGAAGTGATTATACGAACAAATCTGTTTTCGTTAGATAAATTCTATAATCTTACGGCTAATTTTCGCCGTAAGTTATAGAATTTATATGTAACAAAATATACATTGAAAAATTAATTTTGAATACATTAACACGATGCATTAATCTTAGCAGAATCAATGTAAATTTTAATGCAGTCATTTGTCAACAAATTCGAAAGTGGCATAATTAGGTTAGAATATTGAATTTCATTAAGCACGAACGAGAAGTGTCTAATTAATTTCAAAAAGCAGAAAACAAAAGGCGTTTTAATCCTTCTACTAATTTTAATCCAGTGAAAGTTTTAAGTCGAAATTTTTATTTGCATTTTTCCCAGTTCGGGATCTTTTACGTAGTCAAATCCGCCTCTTTGTTGTCATCGAATCGACATCTGGTAGAAAAGGGAAACAAAAGTTCTTTCCTCAGACAAACAACTGTTCAAGAAGACAATTGTTTCCAACTGTGAAGAAACAAAGAGTTATTCAGTCGAAAATTCAACATTCTTTTGTCGGCTTTTGTTTGAATCGTATTGTTGCTAACTATCCAAAGAGGCTGTTGCTTTCAGCTATCCATTCATTATTTCTGTCAAAGAATTCACATTCAATGAAGATAATTATGTTTCGCTCTAACGAAACTTGGTACACAGAAGTCTTTCGTACGGTTTCTCTTTTATTTATTTTTATAAAAATTTTCTTGTTTACGTTATACTCGAGTGCTGTCTCTAATTAATTATTAAGCTTACGATGAAAACACGCGAGCTTGATCATTTTTTTCTCACATTCGCGATACCGCGTTGTTTACGGAGGCAAGAAAGGAGATAACTTACTATCTGTAAACTTATTTTACTGTTACACCAATCTTAGACGCGACTTAAGCTGCTGGAAAATAACATGGAAAAAAGAAAATCAGTCTATCACTCTCCTCTGACTTCCGCAACATTTCCGATTCTGACATTTTACGAGCTTCATCGAGCGGTTGTAGTAGTATTCCTCCCCCTTCTCTCTGGATTGTTAGCTGCACCAGGTGTCACCAACACAGAAACTTTTGCTAAATTTGCTTCCCTCCGAAAATTTCCCCTCTTCTCCCCCAAAATATATATATATTTTTAAGCGTACATATATATACATTTTATAAAATAATCTATTTATTAGTTTCTTTTAAACTGTGTTTATGTATCTTTTCTTAACGATAAATTAATAATCATTCTATAATAAGATGATTTATTGACATTTACAAAGTAAAAGACTTCTTTTAACGAGCTCTTTTGACCATAAAATTGCAGCAAATAAATGCTGACTTCCAAATACGTAAAATAATAAGTTGTAGCTTCCTATGACATCGCGGCAATAACCTGAATAGAGAAGATTAAAAAGAAAAAAGAAAAAAATCGGTTATATTTCTGTAGATTTCTGAATAATGGGATGAGTTTGTGAGTTTGTTTACTAAACTCAAAGAGAATTTCCATCCTTCCTGTTATAAAAGCTAATATTTTATAATCAATTCACTCGACATAATCTTAAATCGGAGGAAATGTTTTTCGATAAAAATGAAATGAAAGAATACACAAAATTAAATTAATTTTATCAAAATAAAACAATAATAAATTAAATTAGATTTTTAAATAATCTTATTGTTGTTTTGATTAAGGTTAATGCAAACAAGCAAACTAATTAACATGTTAAAGAAATGTTTACATTCGTTGCTACATTATTTATTCTATTACTACACGGATAAACACGGAAAATCATTTTCTCTTTCCTACGTTATATCGAATGAATTCGTTTAAGTTTAGTCAACGAATATCGCAAACTCATCTTGATTAAGTTATATAGAGCATTATTTATTAATATTACATATATTATCGAAATTTTTCTTATTACAGTAGAACCTCGAAAACTCGGCTCTCGATAACCCGGCACTCCGGATAACTCGGCCACACCCTGGCAGGGCAAAAAAATCCTTAGTTAATTAATTTTCATTATAGACAGCTTTATAAAAGTATAAAAGCTCTCATAAAGTATTTTTCTGAGGTCTGTCTTATCAGGTAAATTACTGTACACAGTGTATTCATTAATTTTCATTTTCATGTAGTAAAGGCTCTATGCCTTCATAAAGTACGTACTTTTCCTTTGTTTAAGGGTATTTGGGCAGTTTATTCTCTGTTGTATTCTCAAGCAAACAATACATACAAGTACAGTACAGTATTTTCTGAGGAAACACGCATACTTATCCTTTTTTAACCCCATTCCCGATAACCCGGCATTTTCACAAACTCGGCCACCCTTCGGTCCACATTAGGCCGAGTTTTCGAGGTTCTACTGTAATAAGATGTAAACATAATTATATCAATGGCGCGTTATAGGTTCACGGGGCCCAGGCGAATTTGAATTAGGGGATTTGAACTATGTACCCCATGTACAGTACTATACAGTGTTAATTTCAGACATTTTTCTTCAGGGAATGTTTTAGAAAGAAATATTTTCTTATAAAAAATTGGTTTGATGTCCCCGTTGGCGGGGACCCCAGGCAATTGCCCTTTTTGCCCATAGGATAACGAGCCACTGAGTTAAGTTTAATATGTGATAAAAGATAACAGTACGTACCTATGAACAATGGTAAAAGAAAGCCGATTAATCCACTTAATGTTGTCTCAATTCCGTAAGCGTAAGGAAGATTTTCAATACCAAGATACTCTGTATATAACACAGAGCTATTAACGATTAAACAACTAGCGAAGATACCGATCAAAATAGTCGCAGTTATCAACATCCCATAACTATTCCATATTGGAATAATTGCAAAAATAGAAGCCAAACTAACGAAGGAGATTTGTATAACTGTTTGTCTCTTTAAAACTTTCAAATCTATGAAAAATCCGCATCCTAAACGACCAATCACTTCCGAAATCGAAGATGCAGACAGGAGGAAGATAGAGTTATGTCGCGAATTTCCACAATCGATAGCGAAATCGATTATAGTATTGATAAAAGTGTAAAAACTTATTTTAGCTATGATAGATGTTACAGAGATGACATAAAACATAGGAAACTTAAATATATGCAGATACGACATTAATGCTAAGCAGAACTTGTTCGTGTTAGATTTTTCTTTTAAAGAATTCTGCTTATTGGAAATACTTTCCTCTTCGTTCGAATTGATTAGTTTGGGTTCAAAAATTGTTCTTATTTCTATCTCCCGAACGTTATCAGCTGTTTTGGACTGATGACTTTTACAATCTTCTTCGAGTGTTGTTAAGTTCTTCGGAACATCCAATGATTTCTTCCTTCTAGGCACTGTCGTAGTTTTATATAAAGAAGTCGCTATCAAACCTTGAAGTAGAATTCCAGAAATTAATAAGAAACTCCCTCTTAGTCCGTAAAAGTGAATGAGAAAATCTGCGAAAGGTGGAAAGACAAAAGATCCTAAGGATGTGCCAGAAAGGATTAACCCAGTTGCAATTGTTCGATATTGGGAAAAGTAACGATTGATGATGATTACATTTGAGGTTCTAACCACGCCCGAACCAATTCCTAAAATAAAAAAAATTTTTAATCAGAAAGAAACATCATAAAATAGCAATAAAACGAGAATAAATATAAATTTTTTTTATAAAGTAAATTCGAGAAATTTTTTCAAACTTTAACATAAACAATTATACTGTTAAATATTAAATAATATTTATAACAGTATTCTAACCATAAATATTTTAAAAAATAATTTTAATCTAGTAGATAAGAATAATTTAAAAGGTGCCATAAAATGATTATTTTCTAATCTTGAAGAATAACGCACCTAAGTTCACGTAGACGGGGATAACTAGTAAATGTCACAAGCGCTTAACAATGTTTATGGTAGCGATAATAACTAGATTTGTCAAAAAATAAACTAAGCCAATATTTTATATGTCAAGTTGAATCAAAAGAGACTTACCGTACATGATTCCGAACGATAGAGTAATGAAGAGTACTTCTTCTGCCAAGTAACAAAGGCCAAGTCCTAAAGAACATAAGAGAATGCCTGCAAAAACTTGTGTACGAATGTCGAAATATTGCATCAGAAAACCAGAAGATAGCGCTAAAAAACAATGAAAACATAAATACGAAAATATTACAAATGTTTAAGGCATAATAATTCTTAAAAACTCAAAAAAGTTTTTGGCTTTAAAACTTTATATTTTTTGAAAAGTTATTGCTGTTACAGTACGAAATTTTAGAATAAATTCTTACTAGTAAACAGACCCACACTTCTACGAACGTAGAAAGGCCATGCAGCATTTTCTCTCGAAACACTATATACATGAGTGATGGAAGTGTATAATACTCCCGATATACGTAAAACTCCTATAGTGGTGAACATTGTGCAGAAACAAGCTAAAGCCACCAACCAGTTCCATTTCTTTTTCTTACTTGCGATGTTTGTCATCGAATGACTTTACTCACTCGAAATTTTTTATGTTACGATCGAACTTCTAACTCAATTTATAAATATTAGCATATAGACTACATGAAACAATTACTTGTAAATTTAAAATGAGATGTCTAAGTATATCAACCGAGTATTAATATTTAAATACTCGTAACGATAAAGAAAATAAGATAAGCTTTGATAAGATTATTTAACAAGTAACAAAGTAAAAACATTTCGTATTCTTTTGATATATTTTAAAATTTATTTGGAGTTAATTTACACTTATGAATTATCAAGGATATAGCTGAGAAGTAGCCATGGAACTTTGACCTTTTCAGCTGTTCAGAAATTCGTATAAGAAAATTATAATTATAAACGGTAGAAAATTGATTTTTATGTAATTTCAAGGGCATAAAGATTGGGAAAAATGGAGGATTGTGATAAACCGAGAGCGTCTTAAGGGATCAAATATGGGGACCTACTTTCCACAGTTCTGCATATTATTTAGATATATTTAAATTATTATAAAAATTTTTCTTGTAGATTAGTTTTAAGAATATATTTTTAAATTTTTATTAAAGAAATTTTTATGTAGAATATTGAAAACATTAATTTAAAATAAATTTTATCCAGAATTTAAAAAATCCATTTAAAAAATGAATTTTGTTTGTTTGTTTGGTTGTTTCCATCATTGTTTACTTTCGTGAAGTACGTTAACATTTTCAATCATATTTATCTCGTCGAGTTATTATATATTGTTTTTCGATAAACTTTCATTATTATTCAAAAACTTTTTATAAAAAAATTTTATTTATTTTGCTACGAAGTAAATAAAAACAGATTTTATAATTATATTTTCTCAATATTGTTCATACGACTCTCGATTTATTTTAATCGAATTATACAGCAATAAAATTTTAATTTTTTTTATGTGAAAAGGAATATTTTCCTTCTTCAACATTTCAGTCTCTTCCGGTATTTCACAACCAACGGGTCAACATTTTCAAACGGTCACAAATCACATTCCTGGATAACGCTGGATGTTTGAGACTTGCTTATTTTAATCTGATATAATGTCCTATTTGCTTAACTGAATTAGTGTTCTACATATAGGACACTAACTAATAAATTAGTTCATAAATTTGTAATTATTCATGAGGAAGTAAAGGTGACGTTACTTTTACATATTGTTATTGTTAAAATATATTTAACTGAAGATGGTAGCTGAAATGATTTGTCGACTAAATTTGGAGGAAATGAAAATTTTATCCTGCATCTATATAAGTTAGTTCGTTCATTGGGCATCATCACGTATATTTTGTTTAAAAACAATTATATAATAAAGTGTTTAAAAATAATATTTTCATAAATTAAACTTTCGGATATGTAATAGAATTTTATGGAATTTATGGAATTTTAATAAAAACCATGTTGTGATTATTAGCTTTAATGTTAAGCGATAAAATTAGCTGCTTTTTATATAGGACTCTAGGAAAAAGGCATTCAGTTTTTTCTCTCCTCCTGTACATTTTGAATTGTGACACTAAAGCTGATTTCATCTTTGAAAGGTCTTAGAGTGGAGGGAATTAAGACTATAGCATTAAATAGACAGGAAAAGTGTCTACTGGAAAATATTTTGACATGAAGAAAAGAGGAACATATGATTATTCGGCCGAACTTGATAAAGATGTATAATAAGCTCATGGGTGGGGTTGACAGAATGACAATGATCGCGCATCAATTTGAGGAAAGAAATGGTATTCATTATTTATCACTTATATTTTGTACCACGCCATAAATAATGATTGGATCCACGGAAGAAAATTCCTTGGATTCTCTTTTTCACTTATTCTGTGCAAGTTGCACGATTTTACTTGGAATGCTTTGGGAATCTACCATACCAAAGACAAATGAGACGACCTTCCAAGACACCTAACGATACGTTTGTACCACGTTCATCGGTTAAAACATATCGTTATTCCAGAAGACAAGCAAACATTTATGTGAAACACTTCAAGGATTACTATAAAACATGATATAATGACTGTTCTTTAATTAATCAGCACGCTCGCAATAATTAAACCAATAAACACAGAGAAAAGAAATCCTTGAATATAACAATGTATGGTTTTTGCCTGTTACTCAAGTCCCTAGCGTCCTACATACGGAACACCCCATTATTGTAAAACAAATAAATAAATAAACTAGCATTTATTTTTACGTTTTCAGGGTATAAATAGACTGCCTTCAAAAGATAACGCCTTTTTTTTCCCCCTCCAATAATAACATTTTAAGAATTAATGGTTAATACCTTAACTGCATCGGTCTTGCATTTCAGGTCTCATTAATTATATTCAGTTTATTTTTACAACAGAAGTGTTTTACATCCTGTAATGAGATAATCACTCTTTCGTTTACAGTTTCAAAAAAAATATATATTTCACTATGATATAAATCATTCTTGTTTATATATATTATAATAATAATAATCCTAGCAGACGATAAAAAAAAGAATTAAAAGAAAAAATATATATATTATGAATTACAGGCAGTTCTTAATAAATTCGCGAGGAAAGACTAGAGATAAACTTTTAACACAGATTAGTTTAAAGAATAAAAGTAAGAAGAGTTACGTTTACTTTTTCTTATCCAATCTTACTGACAATTTTGTAATAATCTTCAACCATTTTTTAAAATAAATTTGACAGAGTACCGCCTATATTTGTAAGAACTTTATCATAAAATTTTCATTATTTTTCAATAAATAATAGACTAACTGGGAAGTTATTTTTAATGAAAAATAATTTATCTCGTTAAGTACATTTAACAATTTTTCATTTTTCAATATTTTAAAATTTTTATCTGACATTATTTTAGATGTTTTTGAAGTTTACTTGACTGTATTTTTCTATTTTATTTAAAAAAAAAAATAAATAAATATCTCAATAGTGGCATATTGTTCGGTAATTTTAATTATTTTAATTTCCATTTCAAGATAATTCTTGTAAAATTCATTCTCACCTCTTTATATTTTGAAATAAGTTTCTAGGAATTTTTATCTATGATAATTTACGAATGATTTATTTTTGTTTTCCTCAGAAAACATTTTTTTAAATCTTTATTTTCAATAAATTTTATAGTCAGAATTTATATCATAAATTGTAAATATCGACACACGACTTTACTTGTCAAGAAAACTATTTTTGTCATATCTACAATGATTTATTTGGCACTGAAATATAGGGCCCAACTTTGTCATCAGATACCTTCACATCATGTAGAGATAAGTCTTAATTTTCTATATATTTTCGTAGTAAATCAAATTTATTATAATATGGTTATATAATATTCTATATTATTTTATATTTCAATAATCTAAATATTTAAAAGTATCCACATTCTATCATTCAATGTTGTGTTATGCATCATATTTTCTATTGTTTTTTTAAATAAAATTAATAAATAGTAACGTTATATTTTATTTACTTATATTATATTTTAATATAATAAAATTTATATTATTTCCAAATAAATTTAATATAGTAAATTAGTTTTGTTTTATTTATTTGTTATTAGAGAAATGCTGGGCATATATNTAGAAATTTCTTTCCAAGTTCAAAATTAGTTTGAATTTTTTGAAGCTAACTTTTGATATATATTTTTTTCTCCCCTTTCTTTTATGTCCACAAGAATCACAATTGATATAATTTAAAGAAATTTTCTAAAATTCCCCTTAAAATTTGTTTTATAATTCGAGTAAAAACATTTAAAAAATCGATAATAATATGTAATAAAATATTATTTTAAAATGCTTATTTATTGTTTATATAAGAAAAAGATGTAATTAAGAAGAAATTTTTTCCTTTTTTCTTCTTCTTCTTCTTAAATTTTACAAACTTTGAGATCTCTCTTAAGAGACTTGTCACATTTAAGTACTACTTAGGTAATAATAAATCTAGTTTCTTCTGTATTCTTGGCGAAAGACCTTTAATTATAGACTATTCGTTTAGTACGCGAATAGCATTCTTTGTAACTCTTTTGTGTATTGAGATTAACAAGTAGCACCATTACAGTACTAACTTCATCGGCGACAGCCAAAGTCTTATCAGCTTCAGTCAGGATATCCAATATTCAATGATTGATACGAAGAAGAACATTTTATTTTAGATTTCTACACTAGAAACAATAAACAAATCTTACTTTTTTCGTCATGCGATAACTCATATTGGTATTTTATAATAAAGATATAAAAATTAATTAATAAAATATCAATAAGAACATTAGATTATTGTTTTATTTATAAATAAAAACAAGACTTTATAAGAATTGTTGACGTTAATTATTAAAGTTACTAAATCTAACTAGAAAAATACTACACAGAAACTTTTTTTTGTTCTTTTATGCACGAAAATGAAAGAATTATCTAATATTTCATTCAATCATTCCTTATTTCTGTGTTTATAATTTTATTATCATATGTTTACAGAAGAACAAAAGAGTCTGCACTATTTCCCCTTACTCTGTTTTTATAGAAGCATTAAAAAAATGATTAATTAATTGAAAATTACAAAAAATTTAAAAACTTTTTCTTTCATGCAATCGATCGTTTCTTGTAATAAATTAACAGGCAAATAATTTTGTAAAATAATCTTAAATATGTCTGTAAATTATATAAAAAAAGTTCATCTTATTTAGTCTTTATATCATCTCATCCAGTTGCATTTATCGTGCTAATTAAAATGGTATGAAGTTGCATATTTCTTTGAAAACCAGTTATTTTCTTGCAAGAAAAATTCATTTAGACTTAGAAATAAACAAAAGAGGAATGTAATTTATCCGAGAAAACTTCTAGAGAGGACGATTGAGCCGAATTCTCTCCCTTCATACAAAGAATTCTAACTGTAACTCTTGTTGCATGTTTAGAATTCTTCTATGAATGAAAACCTTAATATCCTACTACAATCTCAAGTACTAGAATAAAATTCCTATTTTTATGATCAATCATCTATTTAATACATTAAAATCAGTTTTTTAAAGATATATTTTTAAACTGTTAAGATAACATCGATTAAGTTTGAATTATTA